AAAACAAAGCTAGGCCAGGGGATGCTCCAGGGTGGGATGGAGGGGCAGCAGCCAGCGGGGCTGGTGCCATCACAGAGGAGTGCGTGCCACGGCCAGGGCTGCTAGGAGCCCGGGCCTGGGTGGCAGTGGCAGGGGCAGCCTGGCCCCTGGCCGGCGAGCGGGGGGCACCATCAGTGACGGGACCCAGGACCCGGAAAGCAATGCTGCTCAGGCCCCCGGCAACTCCATCTGCAGCAGGAACCCCCCCCCCAGCCAGAGCCAGGGCTCCAGGACCATTGCCATGGCGACAAGGCTTCTGGAAGACTGAAAGCAATTTTGGAAATGCAGGCGGGTTGCCGGGGAGATGGGCTCGGCCTGGGAAGCGCAGCACCCGGCTCACACGTGCAACGAGCTGGGAGGCCTCAGCTGGTACCCACTCGGCCTGGCACATCGGCCCAGGTGCTCGCCCCCCTCCCCGGAGACACCGCACCCACTGCAGGGCTGGCATGGAGGCCCCTGGCCCTGCCAAGGGCACAGCCAGCCTCCAGATGACTCCTTTCCAGCTGGCACCCGATGGACGGGCTCGTTGCCCCCAGCACACGGCTGCACAGCGGGCACGGCCACCCCCGCCACGGGGTTAGCCTCAGACGCTGCCCGCCTGGGCTCCAGGGCTGTGAGGATGTGCCCCAGCCGCAGGGCGTGCTGACACTGCAGACCTAGAGGTCAAGGCTAGGAGACCCTACAGCAGCCGGGCACAGCCCCGCAACCCACAGACCCCCGCCAGGATGGGGGCCGCGCCATACTTGCAGTGACCCCCACCCCTGCAGCCAGGCATGGGCTGGGGCAGGGGCAGGACCCCCGAGCCAGCCCCGTTAGCAGCTCCTGGGCCCTGCAAGCCCCTGCCCTAGCAAGCCCTCAGGGGGCAGGCGGCAGCAGTGGCGTGCTGCCCCGTCCAGGGGCACGCAGGCTTGGAGCTGCCCCGGCTTCTCCCTGCCCACGGCGCTGGGGGCTCTGCAGACAGCAGGGCCCTGCCTGCCTGCCCCCAGCGGGTGCCTGCAATCCTAGTGCCGCCCCCTTTATTGATTCATTTTTTTTAACCCTCCTATTTATGGACCGTGGAAATTACCAGGCTAATCAGCTCCTCGGGCCTCGGCAGAGAGGGAGGGGAGAGAGAGCATCTGCACGTGGGTGTTCAGCACCGGCTCAGCCAGGCGTGAGCTGCAGCAGTGGCTTTGCTAGGAAGTTAACTCTTCGTGGCTTGCAGGGGTGGGGGGCAGGTCCTGGGAGAGGTGGGGGCTCTGCCCAGCCAGCGCGGAGCCCATGGGGCGAGAAGGGCCCGGGTGCTGCATCGCAGTCCGGCGTCTGCGTTGCAAAAAGGGGAGAGACGAGGGGCCCTTCCTCCTCTGACTGCCCCCAGCCCCGTCCTGCTGCACAGCAGCGCGTCCTTAGACAGCGTCGACCTGAAAGAACAGACGGCCACGTGCACGGACGGACGGGCCAGCCTCCCCTGGCTCCAGCCTCTGCTGTGTCTCCTGTGTTGACTGGGACCCACCCCGGGACCTAGTGCTCCCGGGGCGCAGACCCCTTCTCCGGGTCTCTCCGGTCAGAGCAATAGTCATTATGGGCCTGATCCTGCCCCCCTGGCCTTGGGGCTGGGCACCCCTGGGGTCAGAGCCTTGGGAAGACTTGGGGGAGAGGCTAGGGGAGGCCACAGCACTCAGCACCCACGGGCTGCTCCCGCCTGCTACCTCTTGGCTTGCAATGAGTTTGCTGGGTCTCTGCCTGGGCCCACCAACACCAATGCCAAGCCTTGAACTGGGTGACTGGGGGGGGGCAGGATCGACCCAGGAGTGCCGTTGCCACTCTCCTGCCTGGTAGGAGGGAGATGAGTCGCTGTACAAGGAAGGGCCGTTCCTCTTTAACCAGGAGCCGGCATTTAATGCATCGCCACCAGCCATGGCTATTGGACCCGGCAGCTCTGCCCTGGGACCTGGGACCAGCCAGGAAGCTTCTGGGGGAAGAGAGAGCCCCAGCGAGCTGCAGTACTGCTAAAATATCCCCGCCACCTGCCCCAGGCATCCATCTCCTGGTTGCTACGCAGCGAACAGGCTGTCGGGAGGACGTGCGGGTTCGGCAGCCCTTGGGGAGTCTGTGGATGGAGCAGCAGGGCCCAGGCAGGGGTGGAGGAGTCCGGCAGGCGTCACCACCGCAGAGGGGGAGCGATGGTGGTAGGGGGCTGCCGACAGGCGCTTGTGCTCCTAGCAAGGCAAGCAGAGGTGTCAGCTCACGGCAGGCCGGCGGGTCCCAGGCTACCAGCCCACCGGGGACAGCGGGGCCGATAGCATCCGGCAGCAGCCCAGGCAAGGGCTCACGGGGCGGGGGGAACAGGGGCTGCCAGAGATCCCAGTCCAGTTCCCTGCTCTGCTACCGATCTCCCCCACCACCTTGGGCAAGTCACTTTGCCTCGTGGAGGGCCCAGGATCCCTGCCTGCCTGCGTAGGGCAGTAGCACGGAGGGGCGGCCAGGAGACCTGCAGAGCCAGCAACAACAAGCAGGAGGAGGAAGGCGATGAGAAGGGCAGCGCAGCCAGGCTGGCTCCAGCCTCCCCTTCCCTCGGGGCTCTGCTGGCAATCAGTCCTCCAGCTGGGGCAGGCGAGGAGCCTCGGGGGACGCAGGTGCCCGAGCTGAAGTTTGTCAAGGCCCCAAGATCCTGGTGGAAAACCATGCTAGTGCTCTCCCCCCAGAGCTAATCAAGGCCCCTGCCAATCATCCGTCATGCCACCATTCCCCATCCCTCTCTGCGCCACGCGCCCAACCCACCCCTCCATCCGGGCAGCACCATGGGCATCTCCCAGCCACTGGTTTCCCCAGTTCGTGTGGGAGCCCACAAAGATGGCAACGACCCACGTGGGGATCCTCCAGCGCGAGGCCTGGAGGAAAGCAGAGCAGCGGGCTCCATGAGCCCCACTGAGAAAAGTGCTGGGGAGCTCGGGTCCCGCGTGCAACGGGGCGTGCAGGGACAGCAGTGAGAATCCAGGCTCAGGAAGGCGCCACGAACCCCTGCCCCAAACTGAGCTGGCCAAAATCCACCCCCCGCCGCCTGCCCGCCCGCCCGCCAGGATCTCTGCAGTGCTTTCAGCAATGGCCAGTACCGTATTTATTCACATACTGCGCCCCCCACAAGCAGGCACGCACCTCTGGGAAGGCAGCGTAAGGAATGGAAAGAAACGGCCCTTTTCACCCAACAGCTGAGACTCCGTTTCCCGGGTTACGTCTCACCCCCAGGTTTCAGGAGCTGCGTTTAGGGGAGAGGCGAGCAAGGTACACGAGTAAATAAGGTACTGTATTTTCTCACATACAATACGCGTGTCCCCCCCACCCTCCCCCAAAAAATATGGGACTCATCTAATGCCCCAGGCTGCCCCAGGTGCTGCCACGGAGAAGGCCCATGTGCTGCACTAACAAAGCTGCGGGAGAAATGTCTTCCCAGCAAGGGAAGACTTCCTGATGTCTGGAAGCCTGGGGCTGATAGCCACGAACTATTTCTCCCAAACACTGCAGCCGCTTGGCAAGATGCGAGTGTGAGCAACCTCTCATCCCCATCGATCCGGTAGCCAAGCGTTCCCTTGGTGGTAACTGAAGTAGGCTCAAAGCCCCCTGCCTGCCCGGTCTCGAGTTCCCCAGCTGGCAGCATCTTCCCCTCTCGCCAGAGGCAGGAGCTGCATCCCTGCTATTCGCATCCACACTACAGTCAAGGCTTTGCAACGGAGGCGGGAAGAACAGCCCCCATCCCATCTCCCAGGAGCAAAGGGGGCCTGATCTCCCCACGGAGCATCTCGGGAAGGGGGCAGGGGCTGCGATGCCCGAGCCCTGAGGAGCGCGGGGATGGGGAAGACGCCTTGCTCCCTCCAGAACATCAGGACCGATTGCCTCTGCAGCAGTGAGTCACAGCTCCGCCACATCCCACACGCGTTGATTCACAGCGCGGCTCTGCTGTCAGGGGCTGCATGTTTAGTGTGTGCGTGTGCGAGAAGCCAGGCGGCCTGGATGTGTGCGTGCCTGGATCCGGGCTGCCTGGCTTCTCTCTCCCTCTCACGCACGCACTGCGGTGCTCTTCTTCCTAGTCATCCGGCGCTCACTCCACCCCGGGGCCATTCCCAGGCTCCAGCAGAGGATGCAGGCCCTGCGCTCCCTGCCCCAGGCCCGTGGGGGTGGCGGGGAGCCCGGCTAATTGAGTGCAGGCTGCAAGAAGCTGGAGTCCTGCTGCTCAAGGCCAGCGCGATGCCTCACGTACACCCACGCGCCGGCGGGGGCTTGGCCAGGCCCCCTCCCTGGCAGTCACCCGGGGAGCCCTGAGTGGGAGAGGGGGAAGCTCTGCTTCCTCTCAGCTAGGACGGAGCTGGCCGGTCCTGCTCAGGGCGACGGTGCCATTGGGAGCGGGGCATGAGGACAGGGGATGGGGTCCAGTGCTGAGGGGTGCGAGGCCAGAAGGGAGCTGAGACTGCATGTCCATTAGAAAGCACCCCCGGAGAGGGCAGACACGCACGCAGCACCGGGGTTTGCCATCCTCCGTGAAACCAGCCCACAAACCCTTCTCCCCGCCTGCGCATCGCTCCCGACCCACGGCACCCAGCTCATCTCTCATCTGTATTCCAGTGCATTCTCCATCTATATTCCTATGCTCGCTCTGCCCAACGCGGTGCCTTCCCCAGCCCCTTCCCCAGCCCCGACAGCCATCCGGGCCCTGCGTAGAGAGCACCGAGGGGGCAGACGGCCTTGTGCTACCTGCACGTGCAGCGCAGCCTCCACAGGCTCCGATCGCAGTCCTCGGGCTGGGCGGGATGGCCCGGGCGCTGGAGGTCGGTCAGTAGAAAGGAAAAGGGGGTCAGTACACGCGTAATGGAGCAGCAGAAGCCTGAACTCAGAGCCCCTGGCTCTGCTGCATGGGGGTACGAGAGCCCCAGCGCCCAGGTCTCCCTGCCTGGGCCTGTAGCCCCTGTCCCCAGCACCCTGCAGGAGGGTGCCTCAGCACTGCAAACGGCTCCACGGCCCTGCTGCGCACCGAGCCCAGCACCGATCCAGAACAGGCCGGTCGCTTGGGCCCGTGGGGGCCACCTCTCGCGTGTGCACCCTGCGTGCCACGGAGAGACGTGGGCATCCATTATTCATCCCACCGCAACCCAAGCCTCCATCCCCGGGTGCTGGGGGGGGGCTCCCTGCCGCGGCCCGCTCCCGGGCTGGGATCTAATTACAGGTGGATGCCTTGCACGGAGAGATGATCTAACTCTGGCTGCTTGCTATTCTGCCCGTGCAAGCTTTGACCTCCGCAGGAAAAAGAACCCACCTCCACTTCGCTTGCTCGAGCCGCCCGGTCGCCCGTGCCTTGGGAGACGGCCATCCGCGTGCCGGAGCGCTGGTTCTCGGGCAGATCTAGACGCAGCTACACCCCGGCCAGGCTGGGCCGGAGACGGTGCTGGGTACAGGAGCTATAGGCCCAGGCGCTGGGGCGCTCGTATCCCCCACGCAGCAGAGCCAGGCCTCCGCTTCAGCTCAGCCCCGGGTCTCGAGTGCGAAAAGAGCAAGGGGCGCTGTGCAAGGACGGGTCATCGGGGCTGGCACGGATTTCGTGGGCGCCAGGGCTGGAAGGGACCCCCCAGATCTCAGGGAGACGGCTGGGGTTGTGGCACCAGGATGCTGCCAACCCGCCAGCCCTCTCCCCCTCCTGCCCGGCTGGGCAGCATCAGCCTTGGACCTTCTTTGGTGTCCCCATGCACCGGGGAGGGGCAGTGCGGGCTGAGCCCCCGCTGGGGGGTGGAGGGGGTCCACCTTGCACCTCCCCCCCCCGGGGAGCCGGCAAAGGGCTTTGCAAGGGCGGGGGGAGGGAGGCACCTGCCGCCCGGGGATTTTTATGAATGGGTGGAATGCAATTACTATGCAGCGCCGGGCCCCGCGCCCATGCTGATTGGCTCCGGCGCCCCATTGACGTCACCTGGAGTGTTGTGGGGGGGGTTTGCACAAATGGGG